GATGTCCAAATTTTTAGTTGGAGATTAAAATTCATTTTTGACCCAGTAAACGTTCGAATTGAGAAAGAGCTATTTCTAGCAAAGTTGTAGCCCTTTGAATTATCTTTCCAACGCATTTTAAATTGCCTTACTCGGATATCGGAAACAAAAGTTATGATAAAAATACTCAAACAGCCTCATCTTAACAGCCGACTTTTCGACTGTTAACAGCCGAAAATTCAGCTGTTAACAGCTGATTTTTGAATTTCCGGCTGTTAACAGCCGAAATTTAGCTGTTAACAGCTGATTTTTTCTGCCGTTAACAGACGAATTTTCAGCTGTTTGTGCTGATTGTTTTTTTTGTAACAGTAGTTTTATTTGTTAACTAAAAGGGTAGTATTATCTTTTTAATATAAACATGCCTTGTAATTGTTTTAGTAACTTAAGGGTGTTTTTGTCTTTTTACAACAAATGGATCATTTTGGAAATATGGTTGAGTGTAAAAGTCAAAATAGAAATAGGTCCCTTTGATTATGTCATTTTTAAAAGAACCCCCCGGAATAGAGAGCGAATTTTCTAATATTTTATTTCAGCAAGAACTCATAACTGAACTTAGAGAGAGAAAAATGGGCTGGATTGGATTATTTCGCATTGAAGTCTGGAGATCACGACAAAATTATGATCAAAAGTTAGTTAGGGTTGAAATGTGGGGTTGTCCTCCATTATGATCAATTACTTCACCTTGTCGATGATGATCAGTTACTTCACCTTGTCGATTTGATTTCGAATTAAGATTTCATCCAATCTGTCCAGTCGATTAAATGAGGGTCTGAAAAATATTTCCTGATTCATTAGCTGTCTTGTCATATACAAATCCTGCAATGAACATCATTTTCATATATCGACTTTCGATCACTTAGCTTACTGATGTTTGGTAGGATAACTTATTCATACTTCTTTGTCATTCGTGTAGATTAGATGATCAATGGTCATGATCTAATGTTTATATGCACATTGTTGGCTTATATATTGCCCAATTTCATCTTGACTTAGCTTATTATTTATCTTTTAGTCTGCATTTTCTCTAAAAATAACTATCCATTTCCTAGAAGAATTGCTATTAGACTTTCGAGTGATCATACCGTAATTTATAGAGAAGTATTTTTTATTCCAGGAAAAACAGGGCTTATCTATGCACCCTTTAGCTTGGGGGAGTTGGAGTTATTGTCTATCGTTGACCTCTATGGTAAAATGAGTCAGGGGTCTAAGAGGCAATAGTTTACCATGTGGTAGATGTCAGCAGTTTAAGTTTCTTTTTTATTTATGAGGATAGCATAAAAATATATATTTGGATTGGAAGATGATTCCTCCATCAATCAATGCATATGTTAATAAGAAGAAGAATTACAAGTAGTGGTGGCAAACAGGTTGAGCGGCTCGTTGGCTCGGCCGATCGGCTCGTGAAATGTCGGCTTGTGGGCAGGCCGACTCACGAGGCAAGCGGGCAAACCAACAAGCTCGTGGGCTCGTCTTGGCAAAGGGTTAATTTTTATTTTTTAAAAAGGTTTTATCGTTAAAATAAATAAATAAATAAAAATTTACGAGCTCGCAAGCTGAAGCTCCGCTCGGCTCACGAGTAACGAGTCAAGCTCGTGTGCATACGGGCCGAGCTGGCTCGGCTCGGCTCGTACCGTTGCCAACTCTAATTACAAGTGTGTCTTTAGCTAAAATATGCATGTGGGAATTAACACGGAAGGGGAAAATATAATCAATTAATTAATAGTGGTAATTACACAAATCCCTACTTTAAGTATTCAACATTCTAAAATCATGTTGGAAGTTTAACCTTTCAAAAATCAGATGTTTTAATTAATATATTATTATTAAATTCAATTAATTTAGAAATCAACCGCACCCACCTCATTTCCCCCCAACACGTTCTTTCTCTAAACTAAACCTTAAAATCTCAAATCAACTTCTCTCTTTGCCTTCTCTGGTGATGGTGGCATAGAGGAGCGATGGTGGTGGTTGTGCCTAGTTGGTGTTGTTGGCGATGGTGCCGATCTTGTTATGGGTGGTTGGTGACAGATTTGGCGGCAACAACGACTGCCCACCTTTTCTCCTCCTCGTTGCCGATCTTCGTCGTCACAGTGGTGTTTGTCGTTCGCCTCTGTGATGATGTCATTCATCTCTCTCCTCTCCTCGTCGTCATCAAGCACTAGCACAGCGGTACCGATCGCTCCCCTCTTCTCCTTTCCTCGTTGCTAATCCTCATCATCATATAGGCAAATGTCGTCGTGATGTCGCCATGGTGATTTGTGTATGACAAAAGAAAGGATGAAATATGTGATGGTGCGATGTGGGTGACAGAAGAAAGGATTTGCTACGGCGATGCCGTGGGTGATTTGTGTGTGTGGGACAGGATAAATGATGAAACATGTGATGGTGC